GACCTTTGCTCTAGTTGCAAGATTGGAAGAAATTGGACTTCTTATAGCCTTTGCTGCTTACATGGAATTCACTCTCCATCAGATGGATTTCAAGAGTGCCTTTCTCAATGGCTATTTAAAGGAAAAAGTGTTTGTCAAGCAACCTCCGGGCTTTGAAAGCAAGGAATGTCCTGATCATATGTACAAGATTGATAAGCTACTTTATAGGCTCAAGCAGGCTCCAAGAGCATGGTATAAAAGATTATCAAAGTTCTTACTTGAGCATGGCTACAAGAGAGGTAAAATTGACAATACCTTGTTCTTGAAAGAAAAAGATAAAGATCTCTTGGTAGTTCAGATATATGTTGATGATATAATCTTCAGAGAAACTACTAATAAGTTAAGTAAAGAATTTGCTAAACTAATGGGGATTGAATTTGAAATGACTATGATGGATGAGCTTCATTTGTTTTTAGGCTTACAAATTAAGCAAAATTCAAATGGAACTATGATCCATTAGGAGAAGTATGTGAAAGAGTTGCTTAAAAGTTTTAAAATGGAAGACTCCAAAGAAATTGACACACCTATAGCAACATCTACAAAATTGGATATAGATGAACCTAGTTCATTTGTTGATCAGAAGTTGTATAGGGGAATGATTGGCTCTTTGTTATATCTCACTGCTAGTAGACCTGACATTGTTTTCAGTGAAGGCCTTTATGCTAGATTTCAGGCGAATCCAAAGGAGTCTCACTTGACTGCTGTCAAGAGAATCTTGAGATACCTAAAAGGCACTACTGACCTTTGTCTAGAATATCCAAATGGTTATAATTTCAACTTAGTGGGATATGCTGATGCTGATTATGCAGGTATTATTATGGATAGAAAGAGCACCTCAGGTATGGCACACTCTCTTGGCTCATGTCTTGTGTCTTGGGCCACCAAAAAGCAAAATTCTCTGGCCTTATCTATTGTTGAAGTTGAGTATGTTGCCTCTGCCTCATGTTGTGCTCAATTGTTGTGGATCAAACATCAATTAATGGACTTTGAAATTGACGTAGGTTGTATCCCCATCTTTTGTAATAACACCAATGCAATTAGTATGACCAAGAACCCGGTTCATCGTAAAAGAACTAAGCACATAGATGTTAGGCATCACTTTTTGAGGGACAATTATGAAAAAGGTTTGATCACTGTGGAATTTTGTGCTACTGACAAGCAAATAGCTGACATCTTCACAAAAGCTCTTAGTAGAGATCACTTTGAAAGGAACAATTTAGAATTAGGGATGATTAATATCACTTAAAAGGAACCGGTTCTATCTCTAAAATTGGTTAGACAATTTGTGAATTTTTTACATAATTAGATTAGAATTTGCTCAGTCTCATACTTTCACTAGTATACTCTTGTGCCATGTGCTAAAATATCTCATTAATCTCTAACGATATTATCTTTATTTTCTTGGAAAATTCAGACTTACAAAAGAGATTTCTTAGTGAAGAACATGGTTCATCAAGATTACATAGTACGTACTCTCCACTCTGCATATTTTAAAATAATTATATTTGGATTATGATCAAAAAGAGAGTTCCATTTAATCCTAATATTCCTTGAGCTTATCCATTACAAAATAAACCAGTTTCACCGAAGGAGAGTCCCAAACGCAGTAAGTGCCTAGATTCTAGGGAGAGTCCATAACGTCTTTTCAAACTGACTCCCAGTTTGATTAGACTCTTGAGCTTCTGAAAAGCTGTCGTTACCCAATTCTAGCCGCCAAATATTTCTCTCAATCTTTTCTCATCCTATAAACACACACATATTTCTTACCATCATCAATGGCTAACCTCTCTGAAAAACCCTCATCACTATCCAAAGAATCCACACCCACACCTTCAACCAACCCTACACCTAGGAAAGGCCGATTAAAGGCTATTGCTCGTAAGACAGTGGCAAGGAGTGAATTATCCAAGAAGTTAGATGAACAATTTAAAGCAAGCAAGGCACAAGAACCCCAAAAATCTGAAGAATCATTTAAGTCTGTTACTGAGGGGGAAGTAAATGTTTCATCTGAAACATAGCATGTAACATCTGGTCCTAAAATTACATCTGAAATAATTTTTGAGGTTGCTAAAAATATGGAAAATAGGTTTGTTCTGGGTGGAACTGTAGCTGGGGTTGAAACCACTGAATCTGGGAAAATTGGTGGTAAAGATAAGAAGAGAAAAGAAAAAAAGAGTGAGGGTGCTCAATGTGATGTGAGGGGAATGGGAAAAGAAGGAGTGGCTGAATCTTCACACACTCTAGTTGGTTTGACTGAAGAAATAGGAGCTATGGTATTGTGGAGTGAGGAATCTGCTGAAGAGGAAGAAAGTTTAAGAGAAAAAGGGGGTAGTGGGTCTGGAGAAGCTGCTGAGGGGTTGGTTAGGTTGATGAAGAGGTTTCACGAACCTGTTCCATCTGTGCAGGAACCCCTCGAAGACCTACTGAAACGCGTGTCTGACAGCTATAATCAAAAAAGGAAGAAGAGTTTAGGAGTTAAAATTTCTGAAACTGCTAGGACAAACAAGAAGAGAAATAATGCCTCTTCTATCCCTGTAGAGACTCCTACCACAAGAGGAAGAGCTACAAGGAGTCAGAAGAAGTAGAGTGAGACTGAACTTGAAAAAGCTTTGGAGGAAAGTAAAAGGAAAGTTGCTGCAAAGGGAAAGAAGAAAGTGAGTGAGCCCGTTGAGGCATTGGAAATTAAGAAGATGGACCTGGTCCTTCATAATGAAGAGAAGGCAGAAGAGGTGGAGGTTGTGACTCCAAAGGCAAAGAAAATAAAGACTTCCAAAAAGAAGTCTCATTCAAAAACAAAGTCTGCAGAGCCTTATACCTTGGCAAAGAGAACCAGGTCTGCCATGAAGTCTAAAAAAGTGAAAGTAGTAGAGGAAGAAGAGAGTGAAGAAGAAGAGGAATCTGATGAAGAGCTAGACAAGACGATTAAGTTTGGAAAAATAACCATCTTGAAGGGTAGACTCCTTAGGGACTTGGAGGAGGAAGGCATGATGTTGCTGCTGGAAAAGCTACAACTGCAGGGTTGGAAGGACATGGTTTTTTAGATGGATGGAAAATTTGCCAGAACTGAGATTGTGGAGTTCATAGAAAATTGTGAGATAAAAAATAGCAGAGTCACCAGTGTGGTAAAGGGGGTGACTATGAGCTTTGATGACAAGAAATTGGGAGAAATTTTGGGAGTACTTGCTGAAGGGTACAATAGTGAGAAAAAGTTTAAATGTCCAAGCCTAGAAAACCTCCCCACCTCACTTGCCATTACAAGGAAGTTTGCTGATAATGAGGAAGAGCTTCATCCCAAGGCTATATATAAAAGTGAGATGAAACCACTCTATAAAGTATTGTTTGAATTTCTTAACAAGGTTGTGCTGCCGAGGCAGGAAAAAAGGCACATTGCCACATTCATGGACCTGGTCCTTATGGAATGCCTGGATAGTGGGAGGCAGATCAATTGGCCTGGGTTTATCATCCAGCTTCTTAATAGGGTTCTAACTAACACTAAAACTCATGCCATACCCTATGGTTTCATTCTCACGGCTGTACTTGCTCACTTCAAGGTACCCCTCAAGAAATGGGATGTTAGTACAAGCAAGGATCATTTTGGAGCAAACACCCTGACTGCTTGTGACTACGAAGTCCATGATCTGCCAAAGAACCTGGTTCATCTAAGAAGGTGCCCGTGAACAGCAAAGTGAGAGCCTTGGTGCAAGAGAGTAGGGTTAAGGATGCTGAGATTGAGAAGCTGAAGAAGAGGCTGACTGAAGTAGAAATTGAGAGGGATGCTCTCAGGGCTGAGCTTGAAAAAGAGAAGGAGAAGAATGAAGGCATTCTTCATGATATGTTAAAGCTACTTCAGGCCAGAAACCAAGAACCCGATCCTTCCCAGCCTTGAAATCTTCCTTGCCTAGTTAGACAAACCAGTGACCCGGATGAGATTTATTTTTGTTCTTTTTGCTCATGATCCAATATCTTTATTTTTCTTTCTGCTTTATGGATGACTAATATCAATGTTATTAAATTGTTTTATGCTCTAACTGTTTGTTTACGCTTCTTAAATAGCTAATACCATTAGATTGATATATGATGCTAGACTCCATGATTGCATTTAAACTACGCCTCAATCCCAAAAGTATTATAAAAGCCATATATACAAGATGTTAACAAAGGCTCAAAAGCATCAACATAACCATTAAGATGCCAACTTAGGCCAACAACAACATACTCAGTTCAATCTCATAGCAGATTTGAAAAGAGATGAAGTAACCACAGCCAGAAAAAATTAGATAATCTATGTTAATAGCACTCTTGGAAAAAATCAATAATTAGTGAATTAATAGTAACAGAAAGACATGAAAATTAAACGTGAAGTAGGGAGCTCACATCGAGTGTATGTGTAGGAATTGGGTCGTGGGTCACTCTAAGTGGACTGACCCAAGCTGACCAGACCCGATAAAAAGAAATAAAAGATTAGGTAATAATTATTTATTTTTTTAAATTTAAAATTTAAAAATATTAAATTATGCACAATTTGTTGTTAATAGTTAGTTACTTCGTTTACTAGTAAATTGAAGTTTAACGTGGGGCCATTTGTTTCGGTGGTGTGTTCAACAATTCTTCCGTTGCGTTAATAGGCATACACTTGTTGTTCTCGCCCCACAATTTGTCTAACACTGTGCTTGATGATGAGGTTAATCAATTTATGAGTGTATTAATGATCGTTTTCATTTACCAAACTTGCAAATTATATATTTACGAGAATTTTCCTCTTTATATTAGTAATTAATAATTATAGTTGTGAAAGAACGGATACTACACTTGATCTTAACCAAAAGGCCGAGAAACCAATAATATAGATACCCTGAATTATGATACTCATGTAAAGCATGCATCTGTCCAACTACATATGTTTTACTACTGTAAGATTTTAAAGTAATGAAGTGTGTAACAAACCAAATATTTCACCCAAACCAACTGATTGTATTAACTCAACATTAATTAGAATTACAATGCAAATGCTAATGATAGTAAGGATAGTGCAACAGAAAACTAAGAAGAAAGATGATGAGAAATAGACTGACTCAGAATTGGGAATGAGAAGTATAGAAGAACAGAGATGAGAAAATAGAGCTAGCACTTGACAACTTTAGCATAAAATGTACTACGCTTTCTGCTGTATTTATAACTAATTCTCTCACATTGAACTTCTCGCAGTGAGCACCTGCCTACGCTCAAAATGTGTCCCACACATAATTTTTCAAATCTCCAAATATGTCCTTCACCGAGTCACTTATTGAGTTCAAAACAATACCTCCAGCCTAAAAAAGAACCTTGTCCTCAAGGTTCGAGTAAAACAGAAATTGCAGCAATATCCGCTCAACATTGTCAATAGCAAACAAGCAATTCACAGCAACACCTTCGCATCTGGTACGAGGCGTAATAATATAGTAACGAAAATCAATATCTGCCATCAATGAAAGCAATCTTATGTCACACCTTAAGGTACCCAAAAAAGCATCAGAAATAAGCTTAACGTAGTGGCTCATTACTCTTGCATCAGTGCAAAGAAAGGCACAGAAATTGGCAACACAAATCAGTCTAATCTCAACGTGAACAACTCCTTTCCCATCCCTAGTGTTAACATTGGGTAAGGCATTTCACGAAATTTTAGCTTCCTCACTGAAATTATAGCCATGGAAAATAGATCTCGTCATCTGACACTAGGGATAAAATGATTGAAGGAATGTTGCACACTTTCATTTATGTAACGATGATCTAATGTCATCCAACCAGCATCTTCAGGGGCCTCAACAAAATTTGCAGCAGCTGCACTTAGTTCTTTGGGTCGAGGTAGCAACTTAGCAGAATAATATGTACAAACACCATCAAGCAGAACATTGGCAACAACCTCTTTCCTACATACAGGACCGTAGGTGTTAGGTAGTAGAATCTGGATTCCTGGATCATAGGGGTAAAGGTCAAAGCGTTGGCTCGCAACAACCTGCTCAACTAGTCCTGCGTCCTTACATATTGCAATAGTAAAAACAACACATGATGCTGGCTTCCCCTCACTATAAATCCAATCATCCTATAGTATAGCTATTAGATCATAAGTAGAAAAAATATTACTATTTGTAAACATATTTAGGTTGATAGCATAGGTTATAGTGATATCATACATACCGGGATCAAAGAGAAGACTAGAAAACTTGAGATAAACAACCAAATTTGTTGTGGAAGATGAATAATGTTGCAAAGAATATATGACGGTTTGGAACCCCACCTTGGCAAGCCCTCTAAATGGCTTCATGTTAACCCCAACAACCAGTAAGTTCATATCCATGAATTCTACAACTTCATATATATTGTTTCCAGCATGAACTAATTGACTTGATCGACCGAGCATATACACAATGAGGACATATCGTGCATTTTCATGTTCAAGCTTAACCTCATCCATTAAGCTGAGACAATATAGTCCTTTGTCAAGTTTTAATAAATGTGTTGGCACTTTGCTCTTCCATCCTTCTTTATCAGCAAACAGAGCCACGACCTTACTAGGCAGATGCAACTTTAAAACTTTAGAATTAGGAACTATAACCCAACAGAAAAGCATCATTAAAATTTTGTATACGGGGCTGTAGCGAGTGATGTCTTCTTCATAATTAATGAGCTCCATTAGTAGCCAATACATCACAACAATTAGATAAGCAATCTCATAGTGACACCATATTATTCCACTCCTAAAATACCTCAACTGAGTAATTATGGACTGCTGCCACCCTGGAGAAAGGGCGCGGTGTTGAAATTGTTGATTTATAAAAAAAGTTGGTTTACAACGCTCCTCAAGGTGAGTTGGAGCACCATCAAAGGAATAGAGGAAGGAATGTGCTATAGACTCATCCAGTAGCTTGTATGATTTACAAAAATTTTGAAAATTACAACTGCATTCAACACCCATTTCGACTCCACCCACAGGCACCCAATCATACAACTTTGCAAATAAGCAGCTCATTCTGTTCTAATTTCTTCAAACAATGTATGTGCCTCCTCATTCTCTGTACAACCTGTTAGAGCTATGAACTCGGAACTAAGTTCTGGATCCCATACACAAAGATTCGCTGCAGTTAACGTTATGGTGACACATAAAAAATTAGCACCAGGATCAAATGGAATTGATTCAAAATATGGTGATCATTGAATCCCCCGGTAGATTTCCCATGCCTATCATCACATAGCATTTCATCCGAAGGCATGTAACTTGCTGGAATGTCATCCTCATTCTCCTTAAAAGAATTATCAAGATAGAGATCCTCAATAGTCTCAGGATCCAAGAGAAATTCAGCAATATAAATGTATTCAAAAGCCTCAACTTCAATTCGCCGTGTACTAGGGCCGTGATCAAAAGAAGGTGCAGTAACGTACCTCACTAGCATATCTCTTTGGGACTTTCAGCAAATAGTTGGACTTTGCTGCTTTCAGTACATGTAGCATCTTCATCGATCATTTTAATTGGGGCATCTGATTGCGCCTTCACAAATGCTGGTGCGCAACAACTATATAACATTTGATCGATCACCTCCTCAGATTTTCTATCCTCTAACTCATGTTGTATCTCAGATGGAAGGGCTGGTGCAGCCAAAAGTTTGTTAGATTTAACACATAAATTTTCAGTAAAAGGAAATTGAGCACTCTCACAGGGCACAAGCTGATCTATCCAACAAGAGGAACGAAGAGTGATTCATCATATGTAAAATAGCAGGGCAAATCAGGTTCGTCACGCTGGGAAATTCCGTCGAACACCTTGTCTTCGTCGGGTGCGCATTTCTCCCCATAAGTTAAACTAAAGATGGGAGTACGTATATCAGGTATTTGAAGGTTTGTGAATGAACCGAAGGAAAAAGAAGGACCCATTTTGGAGTTTGCTGCTATAACCGAAGGCCTATCAACCATTGCATTAGGTAAAACTCCACTAGACATTGCAAGAGATGCTTGTTTCGTCTTGTTGTCTGGTCTGGAAGCAGATTCAAGCTCATAGAAAGTTGAACTGCGTTGTAAATCAGCAAAGGTTCATTTTGGAAAATGCAGAAGAAATTTCTCCTTGAAATGGTTCCAATCATAAGATTGATTATTGTAAAACAACCAATTGAACCATGCCAGGGCATCACCTGTAGAAGGAGGAAGAGGCAACCAATCCTTCTTGGAGAAGCCAAGGTATGTGATGTACAACTCGGCCCGAAAACTCCAGTTCTCCGAGTTGCCGCCGCCACTAAATTAGGTAAAAACATTATCGTCGTTGGAGTTCGATGGATGAAAGCACCAATGTAACAAACCAAATATTTCACCAAAACCAACTGATTGTATTAACCCAGCATTAATTGGAATTACAATGAAAATGCTAATGATAGTAAGGATAGTGTAACAGAAAACTAAGAAGAAAGGTGATGAGAAAAAGACTGACTCAGAATTGGGGATGAGAAGTATAGAAGAACAGAGATGAGAAAATAAAGCTTGATATTTTATAATTCAGTGCCACACAAGAGGGGGTGATTTGTGTGATGTCTAATTTTTCACGTGCACAGATTATAGAATGACCTGGTTCTTCTATGTGTTCCTTATACTAATGTTGCAGAATAATAAATGCGAAAAGTAAAGAATACGAGTATTTTTACGTGGAAAATACCTGGCTCAAAAGGTAAAAATCCTACGACATACTACCCAGTAGGAGTTTTCCCAATACTTCACTAAATTACTGAGCCAAAAACAACATTTACAAAATTCTTTGTTGCGACAACTTCAAGTTAACTCTAACTTGAATACTACACTCAAAGTACCTAGTACAATTTCTTCTAGATAAAGCTAAAAGGTACAACTCAAAAGCCCTCCTACAATAAAACTAGAATAAAAGACAGACACTTGGAACTGGTTCTTCTATCTGGTTCATGTAGCTTCAGGTTTGCACACGTGAATCACATAGGAACTGCTTGCAAAATGCCTTACTATTTTACTCTCAACTCACGTTTAAATTCAGCATTTATGCGTGCCTGTAAAATGAGGATATCCTGTAATATATAGAGTTAGTATAATAGAAAATAACTAGAGTTCTAATGCTATACTCTTCCATGGTGGAAGAGTTCTAGTTATCTTTAACTTCTAACTCCTCCCTTATCTAGGATAGAGTTCTCTTCGAGTAAGGAGTCCTTCTCCTTAACACTGATGCAACCTTTTCGTTCAAGAGATATCAGATATAACCACTTAATCTTATCACTTTCACGTGCATGTCTTGTGCTCGAATCTGCCCGTGTCTGTGTACACTGTGTATGAACTTGGTTCATGCTTGAGTTCCTTTGTCAATCATCAAAACAAACTTACTTAGGCCAACAAATTTCCCTTTTTTGATGATGACAAACTTTGTGCTTTTAATAAGCATAAGACCTGTTTCAACTCATCTCAATATCAACACAATGTTAGAACACTTTTTATTTTTAAAGTCACAAATCATCAAGGACCAGGTTACCCAAAGTAAAAAGCACAACCTATCTTCCCCCTTTTGGCATCATCCAAAAGTTGCATAATTATGTTAGATAACCAGATTGATAAATGTGTTGGATTTATGCATTTTGCAAATGTCGATATTTGTTTTGTTTCTAGAATAAATTAAGTTCCGTTTTTAAAGCTAAAACAGAAGCTAAAGTTCCATTTTAGAAGCAAAAACAACACTAAACCTGTGCACTAAATAGGGTAAGAAAGGATCTGTATTCTTTTATTTTGCCAAACAAGTAGTAAACACTTTTACAGTATACTGTGACAAACTTCTCACTTTCAAACATAAATTGACTAAAGGCTATTATTATTGGCAAAAAATCAAATGTAGCGAAACCTTAATCCAGATCCTTGGAACTTTTGTTCAATGATGTGATCTAGTTTCTCAATTATCTCGGTCGTGAAGTAATTCTTCCAATCTCCAACTTCCCCTGTTAAGTTCACAGATATGGATCGAGCTCTGTATATCCTCCAATGGAGGATTTAGTAGCTTCTGGAAAGTGAAGCTTGTAGAGAGAGAGGACTGCTGAGAGTCTTTCTATTTGTGAAAAAATAAAAAAGTGCTGATATAATATATTTGGTAAAGATATATACATGTGACTTCCACTAACTAATTAAATTGTAAACTAATACTAACTAATGTCACATAACTAATGCTGACTCAGCCTATTTACAAGAAAAGATAAATACAGTAGTCTTAATACCCCCCTCAAGTTGGATGTGAGGGGATCACACCCAACTTGCCAAGAATAGAGCAATGCTTAATCCCAGTGAGAGCTTTGGCAAGCACATCTGCAAGCTGCTGCCCAATGCCAATGTGGTGCAAAGAGATGAGACCTTCCTGAAGCTTGGTACGCACGAAATGGCAATCTACTTAAATGTGCTTAGTTCTTTCGTGGAACACAGGGTTCCTAGCAATATGCAGAGCGGAGAGGCTATCACAGTGCACAGGTATTGGCAAACAAACTAGCACAATGAGTTCTTCAAGTAGTCTTGATAGCCAAACAAGTTCACCAACAACTTTTCTAAGGGCTCTGTATTCTGCTTCTGCTGAGGAGAGGGATATGGTTTTCTGTTTCTTGGACTTCCAGCTGATGGGGCTGCCACCTAAGAACACAACATAACCAGATACTAACCTTCTAGAATCAAGGCAGGCTGCCCAATCAGAGTCATAATAAGAAACCATTGAAAGATTATCTGCATTGCTGAAATATAGACCCAGAGTAGGATCTTTCTTCAGATACCTCAGCATATGATATGCTGCCTGTAAGTGGGGCTCCCTAGGATCTTGCATAAATTGGCTAAGATGTTGGAACCCATATGCTATATCTAGTCTAGTATTAGTAAGGAAATTCAATTTTCCAGTCAATTTTCTGTAGAATGTAGGATCAGACAATGAAGCCCCCTCTTTTACTTTCAGCTTTACTGTAGGATCAAGGGGAGAAGTCAAGGCTGGAGAATGGAGACACTCATATTCCTTCAACAAGTCTAAAATAAATTTTCTTTGTGAAATGATGATAGCATCTGATTTGTAAAGAATTTTCAGTCCCAGGAAGTAATGTAACTGCCCCAAATCCTTAATTTTGAACTTGTAATATAGGAAAGCCTTGAGCTAGTTAATTTCTTCAGAATCAGTCCCTGTGAGCAGCACATCATCTACATATACTGCAATAAAGACAATGGAGGAACCTTGTTTTCTATGGAATAAAGAGTAGTCATACATGGAATGTGTGTACCCCCTTGAGTACATGACTTCAGTCAACTAATCATACCATTGCCTGCTTGCCTGTTTCAGTCCATAAAGGGACTTGTTCAACCTGCAAACCAAACCCGGAGAGTGTATTTCAAGACCCGGAGGAGCTTGCATATACACCTCCTCATGCAAATATCCATGGAGAAATGCATTATTCATATCCAATTGTGAGATTTCCCATTTTTTCTTTGCTGCTATGGTAATGAGGGACCTGACAGTGGTCATCTTGACTACTAGGGAAAAGGTCTCTGTGTAATCTATACCAGCTTGTTGAGTATACCCCTTTACAACTAATCTTGCTTTGTATCTTTCTACACTTCCATCTGCTCTATGTTTTACTTTATACACCCATCTACACCGAATGGTCTGTTTTCCTTTAGGTAAGGGGACTAGATCCCATGTGTTATTAGCATACAAGGCTTCAAACTCCCTTGTCATGGTACTATGCCAAGCAGGATACATAGCTGCTTCTTCATATGAAGTTGGTTCTCTATCATTACAGATGTTCTTTATAGTGTGCTGACTATCAGGATGTAGGGCATCATAAGTAATATGATTATTATGGGAAAACATGGCATGTGGGGAGAAGTTAGAGTTAGATTTTAGGTTTGGTACATTGCAAACATAATCATTCAGATGTGAAGGGAGTTTGTGTTCCCTATGAGATTTTCTGAAACCTACTGGTTCCTCTATTAGTTATTGAGGTGAGGTCATATCCTGAAAATGTTCAACTGGAACCTGTGTCTCATATGAGGAAGATATAGATAAGGAGGTGACATGTGATGCATCAGAATTTGGGAAATTGGTGTTCTCATGATCACTAATGTTGTGAGATATACATGTATCAGTGTGATCAGGTGGATTATTAGTAAGTGGTGCATTGTGAAAGATAGGTGGAATGTTGTTTACAATAGGATTGAAAGTGAAAGAAAAAATTGACTCATAGAAGGAAACATCTCTGGAGATATGTATTTTCTTAGTGACCAGACTTAGCACCTTATACCCCTTTGTGCCAAAAGGATATCCTACAAATACATGTAGGGTAGTTCTTAGTTCAAGTTTATCTCTGAGAGGCTTTGGTACAGTGGGGTAACACAAACACCCAAAACTCCTCAAGTGTGAATAGTTGGGCTTCTTTTTATACAAGAGTTCAAAAGGGCATTTGTTCTTTAGAGGAGTAGTTGGGAGTCTATTAATGAGAAAAGTTGCTGTAAGTATACATTCTCCCCAATATATATCAATGGTAACTTAGATTGAAAAAGCAGTGCCTTGGCCACTTCAAGGAGATATTTTTGTTTTCTTTCCACCACTCCATTTTGTTGTGGTGTGTAAGGACATGTCTTATGGTAGTTTATTCCCTTTGATTGAAGAAAGGATGTTGCCTCATTGTTAGTAAATTCTAGACCATTGTCAGACCTTACACATTTAATAGTGGTTTGGAATTGATTTTCTACCATACTTACAAAAGCCTTTATGACTTGTAGGGCATTCCTTTTGCAACTCAAGAGATGTGTCCAAGTAGACCTATTATAATCATCTACCAGGGTAAGAAAATATTTGAAGTTATTATGTGTGACCACATGATAGTGACCCCACGATCCACATGGAGTATTTCAAAAATTTTAGTAGTGTCAGTTGTTCTCTAGGGAAAAGGAAGTCTAGATTGTCTGGCCATAGGGCAAATGTTGCACATAAAAGGTTGTTTGGCAGAAAAAATTACAGGTATAGTAGGAATCCCTTTCATTTTGTTGAAGGGTACATGACCAAGTCTGAAATGACACAACAGATCTACATTATCACTAAGAGATGAACTAGAAGACAACCCAGAAACACTGTCTTTATTATTGCAATTGGAATTATTTACATTAGGAAATGGACTGTAGGAATGGGATAGATAGTGCATAGTATTCACATTATCAGCATGAACAGAAAAACAAGGAAGATCACAATTTTGTTCTGGTGTAAGACTATCTTTCTTCAGGCACTCAGAATAGAGAAAGTACAGCCCATCATACAACTTACCAATCTCCAGAAGCCTCTTCAGTGAAGGGGCCTGCAGTAGACAGGAAGTGTCAGAGAAGGATGCAATACATTTGAGATGTACTGCTAGAGAACTGATAGACACTAGATTAAACTTGAAGGATGGAATGAACAAGACTTTGTATAGAATAATTTT